AGTAAGTTTTTTGGGTAATGCCCACTGTGAGGAGAATTTTGTTCGAAAAATAGCCCTGCACTGCTCGTTGATGTCGTTTTGAATGCTCAGCTGGCTTCAGTTGTTGTGTAAGATGGATATTATGTGAAAGTAGGTGTAAGTTCAAGTACAAAATACGTCATAATGTGATGTCTTACTGCAGCTCTTGGAAACATCGGGTATTCGACTAAACGTTAGAGAACAGTAGCGATATTCAAGATGAAGCGAACTTAACGATGATATACAGGTCTGACAATATCTAGAAACGATCCGGTCCTCTGATTTTTCTTATTATACCATTCGCTTGCGTAGTATGATGATTATGTGCACCATAATTTCCACATAAAGCTCGAAAGGTGGTCTCGTTTGAATCACCATTTTGGCAGTAGGTTTTAGCGATTTTAATTTTACCTAAAGCCATTGATTCGATTACTGCCCTCCGGAACAACAAACAAACAAACAAGGCTTTTAGATCACTAAAAACGTATAACAAAACATGTTTGGTTTGGCAGTTAAGTTTGACAGAAATCCCAATATACCCCTATCCTTTTACCACCAAATAGTTTCATTTAATTTAGCTTAATTTTTTGTGTAAATTGATTTTCTATAACTTTTTGATGTCAGTACGATACCAGGATTTGAACCCGAGCCTTCCGAATGGCAGTATGCGATGCTAACCACTCGGTGATGAGTCGGCATTAGGAGTTTTCAAGAGAAAAGTTTTGCGTAAGATTTACGGTCATCTACGAGTCGATAACGGCGAATACCCCAGCAGATGGAACTATGCTCTGAAAGTTTTCAATGCAGTACACGCCGGTGGAAGCAGAGAAAGAGGAAGACTTCCACTCCATTGGAAAGACCAGGTAGAGAGGGAACTGGCTCCACTTAGTATCTCCAATTGGCGCCAAGCAGCGAGAAAAATTAAGGAATGGCGCGAAGTTATGAATTTGGCTAAGGTCCCGTAAGCGGTGTCTACGCTAGTAAAGTAAGTTCGGGAAAAACTTTCGTAAGATTTTTAGCAAGTATGTCTGACAGTGACCACGGTTTTATAAGTGTGCTATCATAAATATCAATTTTTTCTGAGCTGTTGGGGAAAGGGTCTGACACCCTACAAAAACACATAGAAAAGAACTTTAAGGATTTGAAGCCCACTTACACTTCAAAAAGGTCACCCCAATAGTTATTATTGTAGAAATGACATCCATTCCTTTTCGAAGAAGTTTGCCTAGATTTTTGACTAGTCGATTCTGGTTGTTTATTAAATATTGCATGCTTATAACGAATGCTTTGACTTCCGTCTGTCCTGTGTAAAGTCCTCTCTCTACTAATAAAGTACAAACTATACAAGTCGCTCATTATTTCCTTACTATTTTATCGCGCCGAAGCGTGGGCGACATTCGACTAGTCGGGTTACAAAATTCGATTGAAAGATTAATGAGTCTATGACGTTTAATAGCGCAGACGAGGGAACAATAAGATGTTGGACGTTCGGAGATATATTTACACACACACACATATGTATATTTAAATATTATATATGTATGTATTTCGCGCTTTATAACAGCTGAACTATTTTCGACGAAGCCATCTCCACAATATGGATTGTTGGTCTTGATATTTTTACAACAAATCGGAGGAGATACTGCTTGAAGTCATCTTCAAAAGTCTTTCTTACCATGAGATTAATTAAATCAATTTCTATAATTTCTGATCTTGTCTCTAGGTATCCTCCGCCATAGTATTTTATTTTTTAATTTCCGCAAAAAGTGTTGCACATTTTTATTTTATTTTATTTTTTTCACTTTATTTTATTTATTTTTTTTTCAGTGTATCTTCGTTACGCAGGCATTACAAGTTATCAATAATTTATGCACCAGTAAAACTGCGCTGGAAAAGCATTTGCAAATCTCATTAAGGGACGCAAAATACCAAACGACTGCGCACGCAATTGGTATCCATTCTTAGTGTGGTTGTAGTCATAAAAAATCGAACACTCAATTTAGCAACTAGTTAAGCATTTAGTATTTATTTGCAAGCACCTGCCGACTGAACTACGAAGATGTAATTGAAATAGTTGGAAGACGAATATTTCAAAACTTTTATGCAAAGTGCATTTTGTTAAGAAATTAAAATGAATATCTTTTATAATAAATAAAAATTTTTAGCTATAAAGAAAATGAATTCTTTTATTCTACAAACAGAAAACTTCAGAAAATATTTTTCTATTGTAAGTTTAATTAATTTACAGTATGGTTTCAATACCTTATTATGTTAATAACTAAAATAAGTGAACTATTACGTTGAATTTTATGTCAAAAACAGGAACTGAAATTATATACATAGGTATAATTTTGAAATAATGTGGAAGCTGATGGACTTTTTAGACTTTCGTATAAAAATAGAAAGCTCAATATTTTAATTTTAGATTACATTATATAATGAAAACCTATGTAGGCCAAGGAGAAATTGATCCATTATTTTTGCAATAAATAACTTTAGTGATCTATTTATCGCATTCTATAATTGTGATTCGATTACGCTATTTGGCGCTAGAAAGATGATATTTTGTACTAAAAATATAATGAGAGAAGTGTTAATCACGTAAGTCAGTAGTGTTTGAGCCCTTGTTAAAGAGGAAATACGCCAAGGCTAGATACACAATAAAGTTCGATATATGGGTGTTATGAGTTAAGAATCGCTGTTATACATATATGTATTTGATGAATTTGGCAAAAATCATCCACTGTAAGCTGCTTCCCGACGGCCAAAGTGTACTGTCAGTAATTGGACCACCCAGAAAAGAAATTTTGCTTCATTAGGGCAAAGCCAGATGTATAGTGATTGGTCAGAAGCTCCGAGGGCATGGAAACCTAATTATGTTCCACATCTCACACCAAGAGATTATCGCCTGTTCTTGCCTATAGCGAGTGATTTGTCTGGTCAAGAATTGGCCCAAGAGCAACCTGTGAAAATCGATAATGAAATGAACTTCTAAATGGCAAAAACTTATTAAGCAAAGCGGCGAATATTTCTTATAAAACGGATAATTATAATTATGGTAAACAAAATCTTCAATTTAATACAAAAATAATTAATTGGTTTTTACTCGACCTATGTCCGGATATTATCTGCTCATGTGTTTGGATGTGCTATTTTTTATATGTGTTTGTGATCTATAAACGTCAAATTTACGATTTATTTGATCCAAACAAAATTTACTTGAGTTGGAATCATCATGAAGATGTAATATTCGTTCTAAGCGATTGGGTTTCTTTATTTTTCGAGCGGCGACAATTATTGGATTTTCTCTCTATTTAACATCCTCATGTTCGATTAATGTTCGGTTTCACAATACCATTTCATTTCTTGCACCAATCGAAATCAGCTCAATCTCAATGAGCTCGACGAAGAATATAATATCAGCTGCATATGTCGATGGAGTGTAGTCACAAAAGAGCAAGAGGAACTTTATATAAAAATACTTCCAATATTTTCCTAGCTTTTAAAGGGTGATTTTTTTAGCTATTATCTTTTTGACAACACTGATTTAAACAGCTGACGCACGTTTCGGATTTTGTGTCGCTGTCAAGACTTTTCAGTTTGGTATATAATTCAACAAACGAACAACGCTTGCAAATTATTGAATTTTATTAACAAAATGAGTGCTCTTTTAAGAAAGTTTATAGCGCGCTTCGAAGCTCATTTTTGGCTTTGGATGCGTAAATAAGCAAAATTGTCAATTTTGGAGTGAAGATCAGCTAGAAGAATTGCAAGAGCTACCAATGCATCCAGAAAAAGTCAGAGTTTAGTGCGGGTTATGGGCTAGTGGCATCATTGGACCGTACTTCTTCAAAGATGATGCGAATCGTAACGTAACTGTGAATAGTGAGCATGGTCAATTGGCCGTCTAGATCGTTCGATTTAACGCCTTTAGACTATTTTTGTGGGGCTATGTGAAATCGAATGTCTATACAGACAAGCCCGCATGAATTGACGCATTGGAGGACAACATTGAAACCATTATTCGTGAGATACCGGCCGAATTGTTGGAAAGAGTATGCCAAAATTGAACCAAATTGGCTGGTCGGCCACTTGAGGCGTGACTGGGCAATATTTTCATGAAAAAATCACAAACAAAACAAACATTAAATTACATGGACCGTACTATCGATTCGAAAAAAGATTTCATGAATTTTATGTGTTTTTTGTTTGTTTTGAAAAACTTTCCTATAGCTATTAAAAAATCACCCTTTATAAGTTGTTTGTATCCTTTGGTCTTTATAAAGCCATTGGGCCAAACACATAGAGATGTTGCTAGTTGTATTGCCTTCTGCGCAATGGCTTCAGCTTTATAGGGACTCTGCTTCATCAGAAACCACAATCAAATGTTGATTTTCTGATCTCAAAGATGGGTAAATTAGAAAATTGGATAAAACATGGGCCCTTTACTTGACTCCGTCATTAAAACGATTACCATATGAGTGGACAGCAAGTGATGAGCATCGTCTGAATCGTCCGAAAGCCCACCAATCGACTGCGAGGGCTATGGCCTCTGCACTTTGGGATGTGGGTAGCTTAATATTCATCGATTATTTTGTTTCATCGAAACAAAACAAAAGTAAATAAATTGCTGGAATTTTACTTCGAGTTGCTCCCATATCCATCATATTTGCACGAATAAAAAAGGTTAACGTTCCAACTGCGGCTTATTTTGAGGCAAAAGATAAACAAATTGTTCTACAAAACTCCCATTGAAATGTCAGAAAAGTGCAGGAATGGTTGGAGGATATTACGTTGATTAATAAAGCCCATTTCAAATAAAATAAAACCGGATTCTCATTGTAAACAAAATCCCTTTATCAGTTAATAGTTATTAGTTTTTTTTCAACTTATGCGCTTTTTGAATTATTTCTTCCGATACTATTGAATAATTCACCAGCAATATTTTAAGCATATTTAGTGGATAGATGAATTTCAAATACCTTTGGTTCAATCATTTTCTCAATTAGACCACATCTTGGTGCAGAATAACTGTATGGCATTAAGGTGACCATATTCTGGTGATCTTATCAAAGCTGCTTTTATTTTAATTTTTTTCTATTTCTTTTTTTCAAACAAATTCACACTTTCTTAAATACGTGAGCACTTCGGGCGCGACATTTGTGTATTCTGAAATTTATTCCAGCTGTAATATTGTACTCTATTTCTTATTTCAATTAAATTTCTGTTCTATTTTTCTATCAAATTAAAATTAAATTTTATTGAATTGTTGTTTTTTTTTTCTTTCATTAAATTGTGTTTGAACAATACAATAAGCATTTGCGTCGCGCACACAACAACACAATTGCTCTAACACGCCGAATATTTACGCTTTGAGATGCTCGAACGTACTGAAATCACCAGTTATAAAAGGAAAACAATAACGCCAATAGTAGCTGATAGTGGTTGCTGAGCCGTGTCCCATGTGCCATATGCACGAAGCAATCCACTCAAAGCGTATGAGTGTTAAAATCTTAAAAATTATGCCGAACTCAATTTCCAACTCAGTGGGCATACTCCAAAATTTCGAGTACAAATGGTGGCCTCTTATGGGGTGGTTTAGTGTTGCAGCTGGTATTATCAGTTTGCATGTGTGTGTGTGTGCGATTTTGAGTTTTGAGTGGAACTTTTATTGAGTGTTAACTCAAAAACCGGATTTTCTACTTTACTCATATAAGCCCACACAACCACTTGCATGCACATACAACCCATGGCGTTGGTTACTCAAAATAAAGGGATGTTGCACAAACGCCATCAGCTTCGCCTCAACGCTCAGGTGTTAATATATATTTGTGTTGATTGTGAGTGTATTTGAACTTGATTGCCAAACGTGTGTGAGCGAACTGGCGAGATATTTCATTTATTTACATTGTATGCGCCCATTGTATGTTGTTGCTTGTGAAAACATAAAGTGTGGCGCATTTGTTTCCATAGCGCTTATGACTCCGCCCACAATTCTATTATAAACAATATTACAAACGTACCTGGCGCATTAGTAGACATATAGGTATGTACATACATATGTATAAAGAAAATTAACTTTTATTTTTTATTTATTTATGTATGAACATATATTTAGAATTATAAATATATACATATGTATGTATGTAGAACACAAATCTTTTGTTGTATAAAAACCTGAAATTATGCTCGTTTTGGAAGAGCAGGGTGGAGTTTATTTTTGCTATATTTCAGTTTCTTCAAAACCACCTGATAGAAGTTTATTAAAAAATTAAAATGCCTTAAGAGAGTGCAAGATCAAAAAGCGTAAAAATTATTTAACTGAATTCCTGAATAGAGCAATTTAACTTTGTTGGAAAAGAAGAGAAGAAAGTAATTTAGAAAGAAATACACGTACAAAACTACCGAATAACGATTTACATATTAAGAAAGCCGGTGTGAATACTCCTATTATATGTTTTTAAAGTATGTAAAGGCCACACACCAAGGGATTTGTTACAGACCAATAACACTACTGCCATATCTTTCCAAATTATACGAAAGAATTCTGATATCTGAGATCCTTTGCTCCATCGAAAGACAATCATATTTGAATATCAATCGAGTTTTCGTGAAAAACATAAACCGAGTTGCTAATAAATTTACAAAGGTAAAAATGTTTAAAGACAAAATTTCCTTTAACAGGCGGCTTATCATAATTTAGGGAAAATTCATCACGCAGGTGTTTCCAACAAATCCTTGTTTTCCTCAAGGAAAGGCTATTCTTCAAAGTAGGGTTATTGGTCCATTATATACATTGCAGACATTTCAGAAAATCGAAAAGTATAAACATCCTCTTTCACGGATAACACAGTCATGTTATGCCAGGATAAATGTCTGAGAAAAGCATCGAAAACGATTGGCGGACATATAAGGCAATTAATATATATATATATATATATATATAACTGGAGCTTTGGAGCCGCTGAAGCGATTTTCGGCCAAGCTCCTCAGTTTCCAATTTATACTAAGCCGCTGGACGGCTGATGGTTTTTATTAATGAGCAACCTTTATTTCATGTCAGAAATACACTCGGAGGGGTTGACATACCCTACCGCTATTAGACATTCACTTTGGGAGTCTCTGCTAAAATAAATATGCTCTAGTCTGTACCGTGGAACGTTTGGAATGCAAATACATATAAGGATCTTGATATCCTACTCGTTAAGCCAAAAGTTTAAAGGAGCAGAATTAAGTATCTCGCAAAACTGAGAAATCATCCCAACCTTACCTTATGCTTTGTGCAACGCATTCAGAAATTCCTGACGATGCTCCCGCCTCCTATCGAGCTAACACGATTTTAACTAAGTTAAGTTCTGGAAAGTGCGTTATACCATAGCCCAATATTTTGTTGAAGTATTTGAGTACTTGAGGAGGAGCTCGGCCGTAAATCGCTTCAGCGGTTACAAAGCGCCAGTTAATAAAAAAAGTTTGAGTACTTTATTTTAAGACGGAGGGTTTGATATTCTATGCCGATGGGTAAAAAAATAATTTTTTATATTATAACTCTATATGTTGGTCGGACAAGCAACGAATCCTGGAGTCCCGGATTGTAGCATACACTGCTTAACCCTAGGCTATTGCATTCGAGTTTATATAATAATTAATTAAAATTAAAATTACTAAAGCTATACGGAAATGCCTCTACGCCGCTATGTCTAAATAACGAAGCTTCAGACTGGGCGGTTCTTCGTCTTAGTCAGACGATCAATTAATAAATTATAGAGAAATCAATGCAAACTCCAGAGAAAAAAAAGAAATATAACATTGAAGTCGTTGATAATTTCGTCTATTTAGAAAATGACATAATTGTCTGATTTGAAACCCAACACAGAATCCCTTCCTTCAACAGGTGTTACTTCGGTTTTTAAAAGTACATACATATAATAAGTATATTACTCTCATGACGAACTCTGCTGGTCGCTCATAATTTTCTTCTTATTGTATGAAACAGAAGCGTGAACGATGACGACATCAGTTCAGATGAGAAGTTTTCAAGAGAAAGGTTTATTTCCTGAGTTTTCAATCTTTGCGCACAAGCGATGGCGAATACGGCAGACAATGGAGCGATGGAACGATGCGCTGAAACATCACATTTCTACCAATTACATTGCCCCCTCTCTCAATCAAAATTTGCACGCTAAATACATGCTGAATTACTTAATTAGCCATATGTTGACACTTCATTCTCGATTACCATGCGAATTACGACTAAATCGTTTTCTCCTCTAATTATCATCGGAAATTTATCGAAATCAGCTGGCAAATCAAAACAAAAAAGATGAAAACAATGGTTTTAGTTGAAACCAAACATTCAATGATTTACTAACTTTGGCTGAAAAATTTAATTTTCCATGCGCTTTCAAAAAAATAAAAGCAATGAAACAGAAAACTATCGAATTGCGTGCCGTGTAAAGGGATAATTCGCGTTCGCAATTGAGAGGTCGAGCAACGTAATTTAAGATGACGTTGAAAAGCTGTAAAAGAGATACCCGATGAAAGTTGTCAATGCTGCACCCACTGGTGGAAGTAGATGAAGAGAATGACCTCAACTCGGATCGAAAGTTCAGGTGGAGAGGAATTTGTGTCCTCTTGGGTTTGAATATTGTTGAACTAGCTATAATCACGTAAACGGTGCCTACGACTATAAAGAAGAAGAAGAAGAAATCACTTTTGTTAATAAAATTGTATTTCTTTTTACCAAGCTTTGATTCATTTAATTTTAATTCATTTTATTTATTTTTAAAATATTTTCCCGCCTAAAGCCGTTCGAGTTGGGAAAGAGCAATCAGATATTGGTCCCATAAATTCTCGTTTGGAAGCACACAATATATGTATGTATAAGCCATAAACATACAAAAGTGTCAGATATTAATCTAATTTATAAACCACAAAAACTACACATTTTTAATAAATAATATTTGCCGACGTTTATTTTAATTTAATTATTCTCGTGCATCAATTTGAATCCAATTTAAGTTTTTTTAATTATATATTTTCGGTTACGCAACATAAACACAAAAACAATGCCATAAATAGCTGGAGAAAAGTATTAGATATGTGCACAAGTGTTTAATCATCAACAAAATAATTGCGGGCATCCGCTATGTTCAATACTTGCTGTTGTTGTTGTTAAAACAATGGTATATGTAACTCAAAACCTTTCGAAAGCTAAAAACAAATTTATTTACATTAGGCTACGGATATATAACAGTAAATGTTTATAAAAATATTAGCAATAAAACTAACGATAACAAAAAATTGGCATTTGAAATATATGTGTATGTATATATGCATGTACATATATATTTAACTATGTCTGTGTGAAAACTACATATGCTCGAGAATTTTACAATTTATTTGTAATTACATATTTATTGTTTATTCACAGCATTTCGAGGGGAACAAAAAGTGTTTTAAATAAATTGCCCTTAATATTGCAATTAATTACCGCGGATTGATGCAAATATCCGAATTGATGTTTTTTAATTTACATTTTCATTTCTGAAGCAAATTTTCTTGTTTTTCCATAGTGGAAAATTTACTGAATGGAATTCTGTATACAAAGTTTCTGTTAGTATTAAAACAAACAATATATATTTATATGTATATTTGCGATGAAAAGTGCTTTGATTCGGGCGTATTGATCGTCATACCGAAGAGCCCGATTAAGATGTTATAGCTTCATTATATCCTTTTAGTTATATATGTATGTATGTCGTACATCAAATGGGTTTCTGGATAAAAATCGATTGGCCCAATGTCTTTAAATTGCAACAGCAAAACAGTCGAAAATCGAAAAAACTGGAACTTTGGTCTGACATTTAAATGCATACTTTACTTCCACAACCGCTCTCCTTTCACCAGACCGACAAGAGGGACGCCAATCGTACAGCTCTTATCTGTTATTTTCTCCTTACCAGAAATATTTGTCCCGAATTTCCTATCTTCGATCCCGAAAGTAAGATTAGTCCAGATTAAGCACAAATTTAGTGCAAACATTTACAAAATAATTTCTTACGCCAGGTTTGGACGAGGTTAGATACATACTTATGAAAAAGATTTGTAATATGCAAATGAGATTAAAAAAACCACTTGTTTACAAACACTGCACTTATTCTTGGAAAAATACCAAAACAAAGCGTTCTAGTTTAAATACCGTACTATGTGTGGAGCTATTGGCACTTTCGCCTCTTAAGACAGACATGCCTTACAATGGATAAATTCTTGAGCTTCTAACCAGCAGGTTTTCTTGGTTTGGCAATTTGGGATACTAATCGATTTCACTTGGGGTATTCACTTAACACCGAAAAGCTAAAAGAAAAAATCATTGTAAGCGATTAAGAAGAAGAAGAGCTGACTTACATAAATGTTAAAAAATGTTTGTTGAAAAAAACTCACATTTTTCGTAACCCCTTCGTGTGAAATATTTCTCACACCAATTAGCAAAGGCCAAAATTTATTTAAATGAGATAAAAAAATTAGATCATTTCAAAAACGTCAGTGACCATTGTTTGGTTAATGAACTGGTAAATTTTTTAAATTTTCTGCAAGAGATATATATACGAGTATAAAATTTTAGAGTTTTCTGTGAAATTTGCTGCTTTTTTAATGATTATTTTCAGCGAAAGAGTCAACTGACCATTGTTTGCCAATCAAGAAAATCTAGACTATTTTGAACCCCTACTTGAAACCTACACTAAAAAGTTACTCTAAAAACAGCCAAAATCCATGAGCTACAACATTTTCACTCGGGTCACATCTCATTTGTCTTAGATTGGCATATATTGCCTGTGACCTTTGACATGTCAAGTTTTAACGAGCGCAAAATTGATGAGCGTATTAAAAAGAGCTGCGGCTCGAGGGGTAAAAATGTACCTAACCACCTAATGGGTGTCTTATAGAAAAAAACTGTCATTTCTTCATTGAATTGCTGAAATAACCCTTGAAGAAATATAAAAACAAACTAAAACCAAAAAA